CTTCGCAAGACGAAAAATTCGCAAGACAAAAAAACTCGCAGAACGAATTAATTTCGTCTTGCGAGGCACCACTGTATGTAGTGTTTGCCAAGGCCAGGTGTCAAAAATTAGGAGACTGGCAGTAAAAACTAGAGCCACTTTGATGTAGGCTCTCATAGAATCACAGACCTGTAGGATCTTATGTGGAAGAAATGGAAGATCTCCTCCGAATCAGTCCCTTGCTAGCTGGCTAGCTCTAGAGCTGATGAGGGGTTACAGGCTGGATGATGGAGAGTTAAAATAAAAGGCCACTGCTCTTTCCTTCACTATCCTTTGTCACATATTTTCTCTGGATGGCTCTTTTCTCTCTCTCTTTACGTTCTTTCGTTGTTTCCTCCCCACCCCAAAAAACCCTACATACTCCAGACTCCTACACTAGGACAAAAAAGAGTGCTTTGCTGATAGCCACTAAGAAGTGATAAAACTACGTAGCACTTCACTTTGCAGGTTGGGACTCACTTGATCAACCTGTAGTCTGAAATAAACAGACACAGGGTCAAGCACATTGGTCTGTGTTTCAGCGTTAAGTGTGGACCAAGTACGTTATATATGATAGTGAACATCTCAATAGCTATACTAGATAGGGTTAAGTTGTGAGAATGCAACAAATCTGACAGTATTTTTGGACAGTAGAACTTTAAGGTGTGGAAGGAGGACACACAGTTGCACACGAGGCAATAAGAAGAAAAACTACAACAGGACTCTGCATATCTTTATATAATTTGCATGCAAGAGATAAGGCACATGTGGAAGGACCATGTAATGCAGATGATACTGAAGTTTTGATGGATGCATGAGTCGTACAGGCAGAAGGTGAGCTGCGTGTAGATGATTGGAGGGTGCTGTAATAATTATGTAGGGAGAATTAGATTGTTGACAGGATGAGTGGGGGTTATGTACTGATATCATAAAAAAAAAATATAGCAGCCTGCACAATTAAATTTTACTTTGCTTATAAGATTGATAATCATTTTTAGCTCAGCAAATGAGCAATTGACATATATTTGTTTTGGGTCCTGAGATGAGAGATTTACATATTTTCCTTCAAATAATGCACAAGCTGCATGATAAACACATTTTAACAGCGCTCATGCCATGATGCATTGGCCCACTGTGGCACAGTGACCTAGAAGAGTTGTAGGTTCAAATCCTCCTCTGTATGACCATGCATGTGCTACATGTACACATGCATGCATGTACTGTGAGGTTTATGTGTGCAGGTGGAGATGCCCACTTTTGTCTTGGGCATACCCACAACTGGCATGCAACCACAAAATGCTATCCAACACAGAATGAGGCACTACAGCAATGAGTTTGGGCAATGAGGAACATCTAACCCATAGGCCAAATTAGCCCCATTTGGCTCGTGATGCCAGTTCTCCCCAGCCATGTCCAATTGCACCTGATGTCATATGAACAACAGAACTGTTGCTCTGCAAGTGGGAATTGCAGAGCACTGCAGGGATTGGGTCCACTCAGGAACGGCTAAGGGAGCTGGGCATGTTCAGCCTGGAGAAGAGGAGGTTAGGGGGTGATATGATAGCCATGTTCAAATATATAAAAGGATGTCACATAGAGGAGGGAGAAAGGTTGTTTTCTGCTGCTCCAGAGAAGAGGACACGGAGCAATGGATCCAAACTACAAGAAAGAAGATTCCACCTAAACATTAGGAAGAACTTCCTGACAGTAAGAGCTGTTCGACAGTGGAATTTGCTGCCAAGGAGTGTGGTGGAGTCTCCTTCTTTGGAGGTCTTTAAGCAGAGGCTTGACAACCATATGTCAGGAGTGCTCTGATGGTGTTTCCTGCTTGGGAGGGGGTTGGACTCGATGGCCCTTGTGGTCTCTTCCAACTCTATGATTCTATGATTCTATGATTCTTGAGTAGAGCTCCCAAATGGAGTCAATCCCTTTCAAATACAGAGTTTGCATGAAGCTGAGGCCAAAAGGAATGCATATGGCTGGTGCAAGCCTGGCAGTGATGATAAAGGCATTCCTGCTAAGTAAAATATTGGGACCTCGCTGGAACTTCAGGAAGGGAGGAAAGGGTTCATCCTCACCCTCCTACACAATCCAATCTCAGTGAAAATTATCCTCCCACATTTAGGTTCTGCTTGTTTTAAACTCATGATTACAAGCATCAGATCATGTTTGGCCGCAAAGGTGCTGCTGACAGCTAAAAGGGGATTGAGTCTGGTAGCATTACATTCTCAAACCTATGTCACCTAGAGAGGATGACATAGGATTGCACCTGGCACATCAGGGTGCCTGAGGGGTTCCTGGTGCCTGAGGTGACTGACATGGAGGAGAAGTGAATAGCAAAAGCCCTCAAGCCAGGCTGAAAATAGCATGCTGTCTTCAGTTGCCTCCTCACCCTGAGATTCTGTGGCTTTCCCTGAACTCTTAAAGCTAAATCCCTGAAAATTCAGGTCAAACCCTGAGACTTAATAATCCAAGTCATATCTCAAATGTTCACTCACCAGCATGTGCACATTTTATGGAGGATTTTGAGAAAATGTAACCTGCTACTGCATGCACAAAAGGTCCCTAGCATGGGTGCATGGCATCTGTATACAAAAAAGCAAAGTACACATCTCCTGCAGCATGCAGAAAGGAAACCTCAAGGACGCAATGCGCCTGGGCCTTTTATGTGGTGGCACCTCAGCTTTTGAACTCTCTCCCAGAGGTTTGCCTTTGTCCTATTGGAACCTGGTAGAAACCTCCTTCTCCAACCCCCTCAGGCTTTTCAGACCTGTGTTATTATAATTTAAATGTTACCTGGTTAGTTAGGCCTTTGCCATTGCAATAATGGTGGTGCATTTTTAGACTCTGGAAACTCTCGTGCCGCCATATGTCACCAAATAATGAAACAAATAGATAAACAGATAAAAGAAACCTGCTTGGCTTCTATGGCTAGTATCAGAGATCAGCACCTCAGGATGTTCCAGGAGCAGCAACCTAGTTGCTTCTAAGGACAAGCAACCGCCACTGGGAGCTGAAGCCTCTGTGCTGCTGTAACCAAAGGCACCACCTTCTCTTCCCCAAAGTCCCCCTCTGACCCCAAGCAGGCAGACAAATGGCAGCTCAAGTGGCTGCTGCCTGGGCACAGCATCCCTGCCTCTCTGGGCAAGAATGCAACTGACCATGGCAGGCCACCTTGGCCACTGGCAGCACCCGCTGGGCAGGCCCAAGCTCATTCCTCAAGCCGCCCAGAGACCGGAAAGGGTGGCAGCTGCTCTTTGCGAGGGGGGCTGAGGCCCCCACCTGCTCCCTCCAGGTGCTGCGCTGGCCTGCCCCGCAAGAAGGAGGCCCAAGTTCAATCCCCGGCCTCTCCAGGGAGAGACTCCCTCGCCTGAAATCCTGCAGAGCCGCTGCCAGTCCGTGTGGGCAATACGGAGCAAGACGGCCTCCTGGTGTGGCTCAGGAGGCGGCTGCTCTTCCCGTCGGGAAAGGCGGCTGAGGGAGAAGCAGCTGCCGCAGCCTCCGCTCTCGCTCCGGGAACCACCCGCAAGCGCCAACCGGGAAAAGCGGCACCGCAGCGACGCCGCACGCCCGCTGGGCCCCGTGGCGGAGCCGAGCCGGTGCCTGCCGTCGCCTCGGCTGCCTCGCCCGACCCCCCTCGCCGCCGCTCAGCTGGCAAGGCACCGAGGTCCGCGCAAGCCTCGCTCGCTCTCCGGGCCTCGGCGGGGAAGGGGGGCCGGCCGAGCCAGCCGGGGCGGGGGCCCCTGGAGCCCGGCGCCGGCCAGGCTAGGGCCGCGGCGTGCGGACGGGAAAGGTCCCCTCGCTTGGCGCGGAGCAGAGGCCGAGGGGTCGGGCGAGCGAGCGAGGGAGGGAGGCCGTCCTGGCGCTGCTCGGCCCGCAGGCCGCCCGGGCGGGCCGGACTCACCCAGCACGAAGTAGGGCAGCTCGGTGTTCTCCAGGTCGTCGACCACCACCATCTCCCCCGGGAAATCGTTGCGCACCGAGAAGAGCAGCTTGGGCTCGGAGGCCGACGGGCTGTGCATGATGCTCAGGTCGTTCTCCCTCAGGAAGGGCAGCGCCGACACCGTGATGCTCTTCAGCTTGCACTCCATCTCCTTGGAAGGGTCCCCGTCCGCCTCGGCCGGCCCCGCGGCGGCGGCAGCAGCAGCGGCGGCTGCAGCGGCGGCGGCGGCCCCGGCAGCAGCGGCGGCGGCTGGGAGGCGGCAGCAGCAGTAGCAGCAAGAGAGCAAGATGCACAGGCGAGCGAAAGCCATCTTGAGGCTGCGGGCGCCGAAGACGCTCCCTGGTCCAGAAGCGGGGCTCTGGGTGCCTGCTGCTGGGCGATGCGACCGGGCTGCGGCGGGGCGGGCGAGAAGCGAGGGAGGGAGGCTCTTTGTCTGCCGCCGAGAGGGAGCGCAAGGCAGGCGGAGGAGGCGATCACGAAAGCGGGCTCGTCTCCGTTCCCGGCGCCTTCCTCCTCCTTTGCATCTTCTTCGCCGCGCACTCGCGCGCTCAGGCTGCTAGTCGCCCCCTGGGTTGTGCAGCGCTGCTGGGGAGGGGAGGGCGATGCACAGCGACATTTGGGGGTGCAAGGAGGCTTCCCTGTTAAAAAAGAAAAAAGTCCCTTCCGTGACCCTGAACGTGCAAGTGAGAGAGGCCACGGGAGAGAAGCCCCGCAGGATCAAAAGTCCAGCATCCTCTTTGGGGGAACCACGCAGGCAGGGAAGGAGGATAACAGCTTCGCCTGTCCCCCCAAGTATTGGCATTCAAAGGTATACTGCCTCTGGAGGCTATGCTTACCTGTTTTGGCTAATAACTGCTTATAAACAATACGGTTTTTTTGGGGGGGGGTGGATTATCCAACGTGCATCTTTTGAATCCCCACTGCTATCTCAAAACACTTTTTTAAAAATCCTTTTAACCAAGTGAAAGCTGTTGGTTGTTTTTTTTAATGGCTTTAGAATTCCATTCATATTAAGGGGGCATAAAACGCAAGGGCTTCTGCTTATCTGGGTTGTGTTAATCAAGGGACTTTGCTTTTGGAGTATTTGTTGTTTATGAAGATATTGATTCACTAGTGGAGAGTCTCCCTGTGAACCTGGAACTCTGTAAGGAGACAACCCAAGGCCCAAATTGAAATATGGAAGCTTCCTGTTATTTTTCCCAATTTGAAACACACCTTTCAACCTTATTGAGCCTTCACATCAGCTCCCTCAATTAAAATGCTTGCGCAAATGAAAGCAATATGAATGTACAGACATCTGTCAACTTAGGGGTTACGTTCCAGGAACAGCGTGTTATAAGTCAAAATTGCGTATTGTCAAAACACATTGGGTTCAATGGCAGGTGGGGTTGCCAGTCTCTCCCCCCCCCATGCCTGCACTGTTTCTGTCCCCCCAATAATTTTTTTGAAAAGTATTTTACCAAGTGCAAAACGCTGAATAAGCACAAGTTAAATGTGTGCAAGTTGCAAGTTACCTGAATATTGGATTTCTTATGAAATCTCCAATCTTATACCCGCTTACCTGAATGAGCCTCACTGATCTCAGTAGGACTTACTTCTGAGTAGACATAGAATTATACAGTTGGAAGCAGCGGCGGAGCAAGCCGATCAGGCGCCTGGGGCGGCGCGTGCGCTCTGTGCCCGGGGCAAGCCAGGCCAGGACGCTCCGCGGGGCCTCTGAGGAGTCTGTCTGCCTCCTCCCACTCACCTTCCCTACAACTGAGGGGGGGTGGCGGGTGGACCATTTGGGGCAGCGCGGAGCCTGTGGGCGCCCAAGCCACCGCGTCACTGCAGGCCCCGCGGTGAGTTCCGCCAAGCATTTTGTCACCCCCCTCGGTGGCGACACCCGGGGCGGCCTGCCCCCACCGCACCCTCTTCCTCCGTCCCCGGTTGGAAGGGATCCTGAGGATCATCTAGTCCAACCCCAAGAAGATGCAGCTGTCCCATATGCGGATTGAACCTGTAACCTTAGCCTTATCAGCACCATGCTCTAAGCAACTGAGGTATCCGGGCTGACATGTACAGGATCGCACTACAAATGTATCTGCTGATACATGTAGCATACATGGCTTCTCCTGTTCCCCACTTTGTCTTCGCAACAATCACTTGAGGTAGGCTTGGCTGCACAATAGTGACTGGAACAAGCCCACCCAATGTGCTACATCCAGCATCCCACCCATTAGGCAACAGCTGCTTTCAAGCAGCAGCCACAATTTCAAATATGCAAAGAATCAGGGTTCATGCACATTACTCAGGAGAAGGACAGTGCCGAAAGCCCTCTCTGGTTCAGAATGGGTCTGGAGCTAGTATTTGTGAGGATGCCATTCTACACTTTATACAGAAGAAAGCCCAGATTTACTATCAACAAGAAGCAGGAGGAGGTCATGTCTCCATGGTGAGTCTACCATTGTGATACGTGCAAGTGTAAAGCTGTGTTTGTCATAGTCACACTTTACATTTTTTGTATTACACTTAATTAAAAATACAGTGGAACCTTGGGTTGTGAACGTGATCCGTGTGGGAGGCACTTTCGCAACCCGCAGTGTTCGCCCCCCCCCTTTCCCAGAGTTTTTTAGGGAGGACGGCGCTGCCAGCAAGGATGGAGGAGGCGGGCAGCGGCTGGAGGGTGGCTCCTCCAGTGGGGAAGAGGCGGAAGCTGGACGCGGTGCTTCCCGGCTCAGCTGGCCGCTTTATGCCACGGTGGCCACAGCAGACGGAGGCTCCAGGCATAAGGCGGAGGCAGGCGAGGGCAGCAAGCTGATGCCGGGAGGTGCCGCATCCAGCCTCCGCCACTTCCCTGGCACCCTCCAGAACATGGCACCCTGCACCACTAGCCTCTATGGGTAAGACACCCCTGAGTCTCTCAAATTCAGAAGTAAACTGAGATTTTGAATCCAGATCTCCAGGGCAAAAGTCAACACAATACCCGTAGGCAGAATGGCTGGAAGTGAAAGTGTGTTTTGCAAAATTTGTTGCACACCTGTCAAAGTGGCCCGGAGGATCTGGCTCATGAGGTTAGAAAAATCTTCCACCTCTGATTTATCCACTTGCCTGGTTCCAGTCCAGGCCCCTCATGATCTCCATTTTATCCAGTCACCTTTGACCTATCCAGCCATGTATATCCAGCAAAGCCTTTCTGCCTTCCCAAACACTGATTCTACCACCCAGGTTGGATCACGCAGGAAAGGTTTTAGAATCTGAAAGCACTTCGTTTCAAAGCTATAGACTCCACTTTGTGTTCTTCAAGGTCCTTTACACCGACATGCCAGGCAGTAATTCAGCAAAATCTAAGCACAATGAGAAGTTGATTATTCTCCCACTGATGGCCTTAGCAATGGCAATTAGTAGCTAAGAGGAAAGGGCTCTTGGCTGCATCTGGATCTAGGCAAGATAGAATGGTTCCTGTGTGGTGCTTCCTCTCCCTGTAATGGCCTCAGCCATCTAGATGTTTATGATGGGAACATGAGGTTCTCGCCAACCCTTCTCTGCACCCTCCTTGAGTGATTTGCCTGTCTGGAATGTGTTTTTGAACAGCTATAATGCCTCTCGCATGCCTGGATGAAGGGTTGTGTGTGTGTGTGTGTGTGTGACTATCTGTGTGTAAACCTCTGACTTTTACATGGCTGGGAAGTAGCCTAGTGTTACAAAAAAAAAAAGAGAGATACTATTGTTTTGCCTCTGGTCACAGCCACCTAAAGTATTGAGGCCAATGGAATCATGTCTGAAGCAAGTACAGTGGTACCTCGGGTTACATACGCTTCAGGTTACATACGCTTCAGGTTACAGACTCCGCTAACCCAGAAATAGTGCTTCAGGTTAAGAACTTTGCTTCAGGATAAGAACAGAAATCGTGCTCCGGCGGCGCGGCGGCAGCAGGAGGCCCCATTAGCTAAAGTGGTGCTTCAGGTTAAGAACAGTTTCAGGTTAAGTACGGACCTCCGGAACGAATTAAGTATTTAACCTGAGGTACCACTGTACTGCCATCCCAGCAAGCAAAAAATTTTTCCATTGTTCGAATCACTAACTAAGATCATAAGAAGAGCCCGCTGGATCAGATCAAGGGCCCATTGAGTCCAGCATCTTGTTCTCACAATGGCCACATGTCCGGGAAATCCTTGAGCCGGATCAGAGCACAAGAGCTCCGTGGTTTCCAGCCTCTTTTAAGGACATCCACGTCTCTGGCCATCACTGCCTCCTTTGAGTACCATAGTTTAACTATGCACTGTGTGGAGAAGGACTTTCTTTTGTTCATTCTGAATCTCCCAACATTTATTTAACTCCCGAGAAGCTATTGAGAATGCATAACATTGTTTCAAACGTTTGCTGGAAGCACCAAAAATATGAAGGAGCATTTTATCATGCCTGGTGGACTTGTGAAAAAGCTAAAAGTTACTGGATACAAACACATACATTGATACAGCAGATTCTAAAGGTTAATATCCAACTGAAGCCAGAACACTTTCTTTTGAGGCTAATGGGCATACAATTAGAAAAGGATTATGGAAGATTACTCCAATGTAAGATTGCTGCGACGAGACTGCTATATGCACAAAGATGGAAAGACACAGCCTTACACACTATAGAAGATTGGCTGATAAAATTATTGGACTTGGCTGAGATGGTTAAGCAAACATGTTTAATTAGAGCAAATCATTACTGACATTTGTTAAGGATTGGAAATTTCTTATGGACTTTTTGCATGAAAGAGAAAATGAACTTGTAATATATGGATTTGAAGATTGAAAAAAATACTGGTTTATAGAAGGTAGAATGGTTGGATCTTAAATAATGAATATCATATGTAGCTGCAGAGAGCTGGAAGTCCTTTTATTTTACTCTATCTTTCTATAGTTTCTTTCTTTCTTTTCCTTTTCTCTTGCTTCCCCCTTCTGTACCATCTGTACAGAACCCTAGCATGGTAGTCTTTCAGTTTAGTCTTTCATTTCTGACCCTAATAACAATGACTGCTGTATTTCCCTTAGTGCTGGAAAGGTTGCTATAGTGTCACAGGCAGCTTATTGAATGTTCCTTGTGATATCAGCATATCAGAAGTCCTTCTTGTACACCATTTAAAATTAAGCCATCCCTAAGGGACAAGCTTTCACTGTGTGCTTTGTTTTGCATTTGGAGCCTCTGTGCTGCTCCTCTGCAATGTGGGACTGCACACTTCACTTCCTACAATTAAACACACACACACACACACACACACACACACACACACACAATACTACCCTTCCCGGTAGAGTACAGATTTAAGGTGCTGCTTTTGACCTTTAAAGCCCTTCACGGCCTAGGACCCTCATACCTACGGGACCGCCTCTCCCGGTATGCCCCACAGAGAGCCTCAAGGTCCATAAATAGCAACACCCTAGTGGTCCCGGGCCCTAAGGAAGTTAGATTGGCTTCAACCAGAGCCAGGGCCTTTTCAGCTCTGGCTCCGGCCTGGTGGAACGCTCTGCCTCATGAGACCAGGGCCCTGCAGGATCTGATTTCTTTCCGTAGGGCCTGTAAGACAGAGTTGTTCCGCCTGGCCTTTGGCTTGGAGCCAATTTGATTCCCTCCCTCTCTTTCTTTTTTCCTTTCCTTCTCCTGCGATGAGGCTACATTTTAATATTTTAATGTTTCAGTATTTTAATGTTGTATTTTAATTTTGTTTTTAAGTTGTAATCATTCATCATTCAACTTGTTTTTATTATTGCTTGTAAGCCGCTCTGAGCCCAGCCTTGGCTGGGGAGAGCGGGGTATAAATAAAAATTATTATTATTATTATTATTATTATTACCCTGTGGGATAAGGCTGTGGCGCTGTGGTCTAAACCACTGAGCCTCATGGGCTTGCCAATCAGAAGGTTGGCGGTTCGAATCCCCATGACAGGGTGAGCTCCCGTTGCCCCTCCCAGCTCCTGCCATCCTAGCAATTCGAAAGCATACTGGCATGAGTAGATAAATAAGTACAGCTGCGGCGGGAAGGTAAATGGCATTTCCATGCACGCTGGCACTTGTCATTGTCCTCCATGCACCAGTAGCGGTTTACGATATGATAATCTTTATTGTCATTGTCCCATACAGAACAACGAAATTGAAAAATCTACATAAAACATTCAAAACCCAACAAGCCTGCTATCCCAGCTATCCCAACCTGATTAGCCCCCTAAAAACTCTGATACCCTATTTTTAATACAATATACTCCCATAGAGAAATGTTTAAAACCAAAATCGCATTTGGGTAGAAGCTGTTTCTCAGGCGGTTAGTCCTAGTCTTTATAACCCTGTACCTTCTTCCAGAAGGCAGAAGCTGAAAGAGATCATTTTCGGGTTGCACACTATCCTGCGCTATCTCTGCAGCTTTCTTATGGCACCTGGAAGCATAGATTTGATGAAGGTGGGAAGAGTACACCCAATTATTCTCTCCGCAGTCTTTACAACCCTGGACAGCATTGTTTTTTCCCTGGCCGTGCAGCTCCCAAAACACACACACAGACCATAAGTTAATACACTCTCCACTGTACAATGGTAAAATGCCATCAACAGGTCCTTTGAAAGATTGTTTTTCCGGAGGATTCTCAGAAAATATAACCTCTGAAAATCATGCTGGCCACATGACCTGGAAAACTGTCTGTGGACAAATGCCGGCTCCCTCAGCCTGAAAGCGAGATGAGCGCCGCAACCCCATAGTCACCTTTGACTGGACTTAACCATCCAAGGGTCCTTTACTTTTACCTTTTATTCCCTGGTACCAAAGCCAGCCCCACCCATTCCCCCACATTTGAGATCAGAACAAGAGGAAAGCAGTGTAACCATAGTAGTAGTCTTGACAGGATCCAAAATGAGGATTTTGCAATTCATTTATTTGTTTGGAACTCTGAATGCTTCCACCGCATAATAACTCTTTCATTTCAACAAAAAATAGCAAAACTCAAAAACAGCACACAATTCTGTAGTGGTGACTATTTCTTGTTCCAGTCAAAACTGTGTTCTTAAAAGGTACTGCCAGCTGGAAGCCTGATCAATTTTTAACACACATAAATGAGTTAGTAGTTTGGGCGCACCTGCCATTACTGCCTCCTGCCAATTATTGTCCTTTTAAAACCAAATGCTCCGGTAATAATAATTTTTAAAAGCTTCTGTCTCCGTCACTATGTGAAAAGGCCTACAAAAGTGATAAAGAAATTGACAGCTGTCAACACGGGAAAATGTCACAATATGGCTTTTAATCTATTCAAGGCTTTTCATGCTTTTCTGATACTGCAGGGGGTGGGGCACCCCAGACTCCAACATTATCATTCTCAAGGCAGAAATGCCCAGTGAATCTCTGGGGAAGGGTTTGTAAACTCTCTGATGCATTCCAAAAATCATTAGGACTAAACAAATGTATACCCACTGAGGATTCATGGAATCCTGTG